AGCAGGGGACACAATGGAGCAGTTTTGACCGGGAAAGGAGGGGAGGCCGTCCCTCCACAATGTGATGCAGTCATAATGATGTCCTGACTCAACGCTTGGCGGCCTACGTCATTTCACACACAAACACACACAGACACACACACAGAGGATGTGGCCTCGTAAATTACAGCTTAATGGTACAAATCAAATGCAAATTGCATACACAAACGCAGGGAAACAGAGCGGATGTTAATGATATGACAGTCAAATGTGGTCCGGAAAATACCCATTAAAGGGCAAAAGGAGCAACAAAGTGGAGGGCTTTCTACGTGTAAACGATGCACTCAACATCTTCAGCCCTGATGCATCTGCTTTGACGTTTTTTTCTCGATTTACATCAAGAAAATAAACCGTCATCCTCACATGGATCGGCTGTCCATGTGAGATGTAGTGTTTGGTGTTCTGCTGATGAGTTTTTCCGGAGGCGGGTCACAACACGGGCGGATTAAGGGTTAGGGCATGATGCAAGTCCATGAGCAATTTGTACGTGTAAATCATGTGCGATGTGTTCCGTGTGTCACGATCCCAGTTGAAACAGATGAAAAAAGGACCCAAATGCAGGACGACCAAAAAAAGGATTTATTTAAAAGGAACTAAAAAGCAACAAAAACTGACTTCAGAAATGAACTCAAAATCAAAAAAGGAGGACAAACCACAAGAAGACACTGAAGACACTGGAGCCCCGGAGACACACAGAAGCAAAGACAAACTATGAACCAACCTAGGAGCAGGCACTGGAGTCGGCAGGGTCTCTGGCGAGGAAACAGGTGTCGGCAGAGCCTCCAACGAGGAAACAGGAGTCAACCTCCTATGAAGCAACAGGTGTCGGCAGGTCCTCTGACGGTGAAACTTGTGTTGGCCTTCTTGAGAGGTGGTGCTGGGATCCTTGCTTGCTTCTTTTTACCTCCGCCAAGGAGGTTATGTTTTCGGTAGCGTTGGTTTGTTTGTTTGTTTGTTTGTTTGTTTGTCTGTTAGCAACTTTACGGAGAAAGTAACAGACGGATTGACCCGAAATTTTCACCAGAGGTGCGTCTCAGCCCCAGGAGGATCCCATTAATCCTGGATACTGTGATCCAGAACACACAAAAATAAGGGTGTCGTTGGAATTTTCAATGCTGAAAGATAACCAATGGGCGGCACAGTGGTGTAGATAGGCGGCATAGTGGTGTAGTGGTTAGCACTGTAGCCTCACAACCAGAAGGTCCTGGGTTTGAATCCCAGTCAGTGCGTTTCTTGTTTAAGGGGGGGACATGAGCTGCTTGGCGGAGGTCTGCGCTCTCCGAGTGCTTTTTGAGTTTCCCCTGCAGCCACCACCTCTAGTACCAAGAAAGATGGTCTCAATCAAAAAAACTTGAAAATAATGGATTTTTGAGAAAAAAAAACAAATTCATCTCAATAATAATTGTCTGCTGGGTCCATAGTGGGTCGGTTCATTCTGTCACGTTTCAGGGTGGAACAATAAAGGGAAGGACCCAAGTGCAGAACCAAAACGATTCATTCAAAATGAACTGAAACAACAAAAACTTACTTTCCAAATCTCCAAATTAAACAATCCCCAAAAAACACAAGAGGCAAAATCCAACTGAACCAAAAATCCCAAATCCACAAAGACACTGGGGGAAAACCACTCAAACCACAGGGAAAAACTCCATAAACAGAACATATCATGACACAATGTGCTGCTTGCTTCATTCCTAAGAAGTAAAAACTCTGTTTGCGCTATCATATCCAATCAGGATGGAGGACAAACTAATCAGAAACCCTCTCCTTGTTTGTTTGAATTTGTCTGTTTTTTGGACCCTTCATGGACATGACATAGCATGCAATTGGAGCTAGAGTTGTTTGCACGGATTAAGCAAGTAAACACGAAGCATTTAGGTGTTGAAGCGCTTTCTATTTCCACTCGGTGTGAATTCAGCACAAGACCTTTTTTTCGGCACTCCAGAGAGTGAGTTTCCCCTTGAGATAAGGTGCATGTCATGGGATGCCTTGGCCTTTTTTCATCCTAAATGTCAGTAAGTTCGATACAATTAGAGACCTTACTTATCCCTGCAAATGCGCAACACCAGACACTAATGTCAGAGGGTTATTCACAAACTACCGGGGGGTCCACACATAACACAAATCCTATGGGAATGGTCTCTAATTCTTTTTTTTATTGCTAGGATATATTGAAATTACATTTTATCAAAGCTAGACGCCACTTTTTATTTTATTCAGGATAGCAGCGCGGTTCATCGTTTAGCGCCACAGTTCATATTGGTTTGTTTTATTTGAAATCTTAAGGAAATGAAGTGTTCCACATGATTCAATAAAAAAGAGGAGAAGAAAAGAAAATCTTTAGAGGCAGCAGCAGGAGAAAAAACAGGAGATTCACACCCACACACACTCACAGCGTTACAGCTTGAAGCCAGGAGGCATCGCTGACATTTTGGGGATAAAGGTCTTGATGAAACCTTGCTGTTTCGCAGGCACACTCGCGCACTTTCCCCCCTGCCAACAACTGCAAAAGCGAGAGCAGCGCCAGACTCTCTGTGACCCAAATCCCTTGTATTGAAACGTCCATACGGCCTCACTTACTAATCGATAAGCAACACGAAACTGTCGCTTTTTACCACAAGCTATCCCTCTGTTTTTAACGTGTCGATTTTAGCCGCACGTTACCGCCATGTGGTCTTGACTCATCTAGGCCAACTGGCAGAATCGTAATCAGAGGGGGATATTTGGTGGGACTTTAAGGAAGCTGAAACTACAGTGCTGTATTAGTGGCACTTTCACTCACTCAGATGAAGAAACACTGCCGGTGATTAGGCTTCTTGTGGATGTGTGTGAAAGCGAGAGAGAGTGTGTGTGTGTTTGTGTGTGCATTGGCTCCATTGGGAGGCTGTTGCAGAGCCTTAAATTATACATACGTTCTCATTCCATTACCAATGGCAACTACTCAGGGCTTCCCAGCATTTCCATTACCAAAATGAAGACATGCACGCACGCACTCAGGAGCTCTCTTTAATCTGCGGTCATATACATACAGAAAAGGATGGTTATGCCACAGCGGGGAGTTGTTAAACTCATGCCTTTATTTAGAAAAGAGTGACAATTCTGATTTGAGTTCCAGAAATGTTTTCCTCTTAATAAACTCCAGAGCATCTGTGGATTCAACAGTCGCCAAATCATAACCTCAAACGAGCTGGCAAAATATGGATGGAGCGGATGAATGATTAATGCTGTCCTCTCTTTACAACTGCCACTGAGATGCCATTGAGGAAGGTGTTTAATCCTCTCTGATGGTGGAGCCACTCCAAGGCCAGCAGCAGTGGGCTTGAGTTGAATAGTACAGATTATGGAAAGTTATGGAAAGTTCAAGCAAAGTGGTTTGATAATTCCAGGAGATTGAGGAAATGTGTCACAGACATAAAAACTTCACCAGACCTTCACCCGGGATTTCCACCGCATCCAGAACGGCTCCTATCTGGGACGGTGGCGATTTTCGCCATACGCCAATTCCCACCGGTTCCATTTGTGAGGCCAGTTTTGTGGCGTATTATGGACAGCAGGAATCACGAGAACTCACAAGAACCCATGGATTCACGTGCAACAGCGCAATAACAAGTTGTCTCTAGCCACATAGGCTGGAAAGAAGCTGGTGGAAATTGACACATTAACTTGAATGGTTACGATCAGCTATGATCGGCGGATATGGCCTTTTCGTGGCCATTCCAGATGCGGTGGGAATTGGGGAGCGCCAATATGATAAATCTCTGTCTTCCCTTGAAAGCAAAGTTCTAAAACAAATGAAACCTTATGTAAAGTGTCGATAAGTGCAAGATTTAAGGGGTTGAAAAACCTTGAAACAACACTTCATTCAACTAAAAAACAATGGAAGGGCAACTTTCTTCTTTGATGCCAACAACAGGTTTCGAAATAGGTCAGACAGGGGTAAAACTTATGTAAGTCCCCTCGACAAACGTCTACCAAGAAATTAGATCAATTTGCACAAAGTTAGTAACATGTCTGGGCACAAAAAGTGGATTCAAATGACTCACAAAGGAACAAATGATCGAAGGTTACAGGTTTTAGAGAGACTATGTGAGCAAATGGTTGAGAAATGTAAAAGGAAATACAGGACAGCCTTAATCTTTGGGCTCTCAGGTGGCTGCATTAAAACTTGACATTACTCTGTAGTGGAAATTGCTGTATAGGTCTAAAAACCACTGTCTGCAAAGAGGAAACCACTCCACAGACATCAGAAAACATCCCCGAATCAAAAATTAACTTTTTCTCTTTGGAAATCATGGACTCTGCATCCTCTGCTCTGAAAGGGAGAGGGACCCCCTAAAAAGACGGCATCTGTGATAGTGCGGGGGTGCCTGCGGTCTCCAAAATAACTTTGTGCTCTTAAAAAATACAACAAAGGTGACCCTGAACTGCTGAGTCGCTTGAATCCTTTATCAGGGAAGAATGGGACAACATTTCACCTTAAAAACTCATGAATCTGGTCTTTCTGTTTTCATGATACACTACAGCTCTTCAGTTTTAACATCTATGATGCTTTCTTCGCACTGTTTCAATGACACATCCAGTTAAGTTGATTTGCAAATCATCAGATTAGGTTTTTATTACTAATTTGCGCCACATCACTGCGAATTAGAATTGGAGTTATATATTGAGAGTCAATTAAAACATAAATAAGTCCATTTATTAATGCAAGTGAGATGCTAACATGCATCTCTAATGGGAGATATATGAGGATGTTGCGTGCGAGACCAGCATGAATAAGCCAATAACACTCTTGAGCAGCATTAGGAAATCATGCTACACACATACAGTATAGTGATGCATATATGGTTCTGCTCCAATTGGGATATAGGGATCTTGTGTGTGTGCTGGGTGTTACACCATTTTCCATGTTGACTGGAAGCTCTCAACAGTTCAGCTGTACTCTCCGGCTCTGTGAACCTTACCTCACTTTGCTCCGTCCCACTCCACCCAGCTGGACGCCAGATCTTAAACTTTCCCCGGTAAACACGAGTACCTCGCCCCGGCTGCTTCTCATCAGCTTTCACATCAGATCCAGTGTGGCAGGCTCTGAGGAGAGGTGTTATCAGGCAGACAGCTGAACGGAAGAGAGAGAAAGAGAGAGACAGAGGGGCGGGGAGGCAGAGGGGGGGCCCGGTTAGCTTGGCACTGCAGTCATTTGAGCTCCGGCAACGAGCTGAGACAACATCAGACAAGGATTAAATCAACAAACGGGACTGACCCTGGGTGACCAAGGAAGGGTACTTACAAGTCAGTGGAGGGAGAGGAGTATTTATCCTTTTGGGGAGGGGGAAAGGAAAGGAAGTAGGAAAAAAAGGTCATGAACAGAGAGGAGCACATCATCATCATATTTTCCTGACAAGTATTTACTTCAACCTGCGTACTTATGCCTACATAGCTGACGTTTGCACCACCTAATCTTTAACATAATTTAATGATAAAAGAATACATCTGCAGGTAGGCTAATTAGAATATTGTTGCCATGGAATCAATGAATCAGTCTTAATTAATATGGTTCCAATTCACAACAAATGTTATCTCAAGATGCTCAACAAAGAAAAAAAAGTAGTTAAGACCAGAATCTTCTTTTCAAGACCCAATGAACAGATGGAATTTGATCAGCACCACTCCCCATCCCGTCTTCATACACGTGCATGGACGGGTAGCAGGTTAGGTAGCAATAACAGGTGGTTCTGGAAGTGGCTACACATCTGCACAAATGTTGCACATTGCTGAACAGAATGGAAGTCTTCCACATGCATTTAAAGAAAACAGAGGTATAATATTGATCAAATTAACAAGTCTTGGTTGAAAAGACCTCAGATTAAGACTAGTCACCTGCAGAGGGAAGTGGTGTAAGCTGAATTGGCGAGTTGAATCTAGACAGTTAGTCTGTTTGCGCCTCACAATGACCAAAACCACCACGGGTTGTATTCAAGTCCTCTACGAGTAGCTAGCATGGTGGCGATTTCACATTGACGTGAAAAGTGTGTCATGTCAGTCAAGTTTCTCTTTTTCAGTCCATTCATGTTGGTTCAGTTTCCTTTATTTCTGCACATTCATGTTTTGTTTCATGTCGTTCATTTCCTGTTTTATTTTGTAGTTTACTAACCCTTGTTTCCGTCTTCTAGATTTGTTCTGATCTGGTCTGTCCTGCTCCCGTCTTGTCACACCTGCCGCCTGATTGTGGCTCCCCACCTGTTTCCCATCACCCTCATTACCTCTTGTATTTTACCTTGTGTGTCCCACCATCTCGTTGCCGGTTTGTTGCGCTTCTTGTCACGTTCCACCATTTATTCATAGTTATTGCTTACCTGTTTATTACCTTTGCCTTCCTTTTCAGACCTTGCCTTTTTGCCTCTTGCCTTTGACCTGACTGCCTTTTTGTGTACTGACCTTTGTCTTTGTTTGACAAACTGATTGGGTGTCGTGCCATTGTGTCCTTCAGTCTGTGCTTTGGTTAATGACAAAGTGCACATTGCTAAACACAGCAACACAGCCAAGCCTTTCCCTTTGTACTTCTATTCCAGATTTGACAACATTTAAGAAATCCAGGTGATGAACATTAATGAAGTGACATTTTGGCTTCACTTTTAAGGAGCTATCAGAAAACAGAGGATGAAAACACAAGTCTACATTTTCTTCTGCTCGAATCGGGGTATGTTTTACAAAAGTACCTGTACGGTTACTTTTGCCACCCCCAGCATTACAATTTAAGACGGAATTGTAAATTTAAGGAGACAGCTTTGCAAAGTAGCTCTGGAAGCAGCCATCCCAAGTATCGGCGTGATTTATGCCGGCAATATGGAAAAATGAATGGGTAATAAGCCTTTCCCAGTGGAATGATGCCCCTGAGCTGATTCTATATCTTCTTTCTTCCTCCGCTCAGTTTGCCATTTGCAATCCCAAGATGTCTCACCTCTCCTGCTCCAGGAGTCTTTCAATGATACATCTCCAAGTATAGCAAATCCAAATGTAAGACTGAAAACTTTAGATACTGCAATAGCGCGGTTGTTAAAATCACCCAGTTTGACTCTGAATCATGTTACGACTCTTATGCTACAATGAAATTTGATGTTTTTGTACCCCAGCCTGCCTCCTGAGAACCGTCCTATAGTGCAATATGGCTTTTTTAAGGTCCAGTGGCTTTCCGTTCATCTCAGCTGCGCTTAAGTGTCAAGTGGGATGGACATGCTGGTAACCTGAGGGAGGCACATTTTACAGATTTATGGTCTCAGACAGGCCAACAGGGGGCTGAACCTCAAGCCAGTAATGTTTTTGCTAAAAAGAGATAGCACTTATTTTGACCCTGTTTACACTGGGTTTTTAAAAAAGAAGTTTCTCAGTGATCCAAACGCATCAGGACACTTTCGACAGACCACTGTTCACACCTGCGTCTATCATGTGTCTCCAAGGTGTCCGTCTGTCAGCTTGTGTTCAGATTTTGTTACTGAAACCTTATTTACTCCTTCCTTCATTCCCCCTGAAAAGTCAAAAGGCTCCGAGTACAGTTTGAGTTGATCTGTCGCCAGCAGCCAGGCTTGTTTTTCACACGGTACCTAGAGGAAAAAAAGTGTTACACGAACTAATGTTGGGTCACTCAAACTGTCAGGATTGGAGGCACTGTCATCGTGCCGCTTGAAAAAAAAATAGTCTGACCAAATCAGCTACCATGTCTGTTATAGAAGAACTTTACTGTGACTTTGGTAGAGACTCAAAAGTGCCAATTAGCATTGACATTGCAGAGTGTAAGTGGTCAAACGTGTCTGTCATTGACTGTGTGAAAGGAGTGGTGTACGTGGACCCTGTTTTGGATGTCACCATAGTGTCTTTTATGCTTTTCGTAGCTGTGTGCATGTCGGTTGCACCAACATCTAAGTGTGTACATTTTTTTTACATGTTCCTATGGCATTTTTCTGATGTTGCAGGTCATATCATAAGAAAAATAAGTGTGAATTTGCATTTCTGAGTATTTCTTCATTCAAATTGCTGTGAATCTCTGGCATACCCAAACTGCAGACTCAAACACAGTGAGATTTCCTATGTCACAAATCCAAGCCCCGCCCCCGGAGCCCCACAATGCAGCCAGACTCTGAGAAATAGAGAGGACAATGGCGGAACAAGCACGTACGTTAGCGGATTGCAATGCTCATAAGAAAGCTTATTATGATTTTAACTTTAATCATGTCCCCAAAAGACATTAGTGTCCGAGAGCTGAATAGCTCCTATGTTTCCTGCTTCTCCTACTACACCCACAATGTTAGGCTGCATATGAAGAGGAGTGTGCAGGGCAGCGCTGTCTCCGCCCACGACTCAGAGGCGAATTGCTAATGATGGACTGGAGCTTTGCAGAAGAAAAGCACTTGAAAAACTGAAAAAAGGAAACGATCAGAGTGGGACTTCGAAACCTGGCAGCCTGCCCATCTATAAAAGTCTGTTATCTTAGTCTTCCTTGTAAACTTATTGACTTGTTTTCCATCAGGTATGATGCATTCAAAATTAGGTACTCTTGGTCTGCAGAAAACAGGAAGCACACGGACGACCATATTTTTCAGCTCAAATTTCAAGAACCGTTTTCTTCATTTATTCAAAACCTAACATTCAAAACATCTTATTTTTGTGCCCTTTTGTTCCCTTCAGAGTCAGCCTCAGATATAATTTTCTTACCAAATTCAAAAGTTTGCAGCTCTGGTGTCAGTATTATGTAAAAAAGGGCCTTGACTTTTACACATTTAGCTCCCCGCTTCATTCTTTTTTTTTTCTTCAAGCAGTCTGTCCACCAGGCATCTTTCACTGGCAGGAAAGCTCTGAACAGGGCCGTGGGAGCAAGCGAGAAAGTGCCATGAAAGAAAATAAATAGTGGGAAAAAAAAGAAACAACACTCAGAGGAACTTTTAGACACTGAGTAAACTGCAGTGATGTTTGCTAGCCTTGTTGAAGGCTGCACTGCGCTACCACAGGGAAATACACAGACATACCGGGTGGACCTGGTGTTCAGAAGCTCATTAGATCTGCATTTTGTGACTATGATGCACTTTATATACAACAGCATCACAACACAGGGACCAACTTCATATTAACAGCTTTTCTATTAAACCTAGAGGAGAAATAGAAATTTTATGGTTAAACTTCCCGTTGAAACTGCCTAATAAAATTTGCATAAGTGTGCTCAACAACACACATATCTGGTGAATGCTCTTCTAATGGAATAATGATCTTCAGCTTTTTACTGCTCAGACACAGATAGAGATATGATGTCTCCCATCTGAAGACTTGATTTCAATAAAACTGAAAGTTGTTTATAATTTCTCATGCAAAATTTAGTGTAAAAGTGCAGATTTAAGTCATGAACTGGCTGCTAGTGGTTGTTAGTATAGCTTGTTTGACCCCAGCCTGTGTAACCTGTGTCGCTTGTTGTACATATTTTTTTCTGCAAAAAGCAACAAATAGGTATAAAAAAAGATAAGTGTTTCAGAAGATGTGTATAAATCAGCCAGTAAAAAACGAGAACAGGCAGATGAACATAAGACAATGTAATTTTGACAAAAAAACAAACAAAAAAGATGCAGATTGTCTCACAGATAATGTAAATAAAATGGAAGATAATGCATTTTATATTTAAAAAAAAAGTTAATAACCTAAAGATAATGTACATTGCACAGAGGATAATGAACATTGAGAAAAAGGTAATGCAAATTACAAAGTAGATCATAAAGGTGAACACAACATGATGCACCTTGCATGCTAGATCATTTACATTGCACAAAAGATAATGCATTTTGCACAGAAGATCATGTAAATTGCTCAGTTGATAATGTGTATTACACAGCTAACAGATAATGTAGGCTGAAAAGAAGATAATGCATGTTGCACACTAGATAACATCTGTTGCACGGTGGATAATACAATATTAACAGCAGATAATGCCTATTGCACAGTAGGTAATGGAAAATAAACAGAAGATTATGCATGTTGCCAGTAAAAAATGCATATTGAATTGCAGATAATGTACACTATACAGTATATAATACATATTTCATCGTGGATAAAGCCAGTTGAACAGAAGATAATGCAGAT